CTCACTTGTAATTCAGTATGTGCTAACTTTTATCTTAACCCTTCCTGCCCTCTTTTTTTAATCCAAGGAAAAGAGGAATGCTGCTGCCAATGTCTTTGTCAAAGAAAAGCAGTTGTAGAGGACGGATGTGAGAACACTCGAACGAAATACAGACTCTTAAACAGACGGCAAGAAATAACTTCACACAAAAATGAGAACTTTTCCCCTTATGGAACTGTTTGCAAACTCAACACAACCTATAAATCACTGATGATAGTGCCTGGAAATTCATATTTTCATAATGGCTTTATGGTTAAAAGTGTTACCAGATAAAATTATTCAAATATCAATGGTGTTGATTTCTACTTTTCATACAAACCCAGGCACACGGAAGATATCATCAGTGACATTTTAAATAATATCATCTCTCTCTTTTCTTCTTAAAGACACATTAAATGAACAGAAAGTTGGAGATTTAGCTCAGTGTTGTTAGTGCCTGCTTGCAAGTGTGAGGTCATGAGTTTGATCCCTGGTACCAATTTAAAAAATAAATAAATAAATAAAATGAACAGAAAGATTTTAAATGACAAAATAGTTTCATATTAAAAGCACTTTGGGTGACTAGGAGTCTATAATAAAGGGCTTTTTCTTTTCCTCTTTTAATTCTATGATCTGCTTCAACAGTCTGATTCTAGAAGTCAGGAATCTAAACTGGTTTTTCTAAGCTTAAAACTCAGGTGTGGACAGAACTGAATTTCTGCACACTCCAAGGGTGAACTGACTTCTGTTCATGCCCAAACTGCCTGGCGTGTGACTCCCTGCCTCATGGATATAGTGCCTTCTCCCCTTCTCTTGTCCAATGTCCCTTGTGTATCCCTCTTACAAAACCTTTGATTGCATGTAGGGCCCACCTAGAACATCCTAGAAATCTTCATATCTCAAAATCTTCAACTTAACACACCGATAAAATCCCTGTTGATACACCTGGTATCAGGGATGGAGACCTCGACATCTTTAGGGATCTTTGGTCATCTCACTACTTTGGCCTTTACCAAGAATGTGAACTCCTGGAGATGCCTGACTTTGCCCACCCCCTCTCAAGGAGAAACACTGCTACGGGAAACCCAAGAGCCACCACTTGATAACTTTCTCTTTATTGAGGCAGAAAAAAAACCTCAAACTAACAAACAAAGCAATGAATAAATGAAACAAATTCTGAGAACCTAAATATTACTAATAGGTAAGGAACACTCTGAATGATGGATTAGCTAGATAGCTGTGAAATACCCATCTATAAATAATGAATGATTTCACTGTTTCATAAAACATGATTTGGTATTCTTATTTCACAGAACAGGAAATGACTGAATGAAGAGAATGTGGCAGACAGCGAAGCTTCTATTCAGACCCTTCCCTGGGCTCAAGATCCTAAAGAGCTCCTAGACTTCAGATGTCCAGGAAGATAGAGAGCCAATATGCTCCAAATGAGCCCAAGAACACTTTAATGTTTAGTCATGTTTCAACTGAAAGATTAGATTTAAATATTTGCTGCTAATTCTTAATATATATTTAAATAGGCAACAAATTTGTACCCATGCATGGTGGCACATGCCTGTAATCACAGCACTTGGGATGTTAAGGCAGGAGGCTCAGTGAGTTTGAAGCCAGCCAGGACTCCATAGTGAATTCAGAACTAGCCTAAACTACATAATAAGACCGTGTCTCAAAAAAAAAGTACATCCCAAGATGAAATAAATACAATACATTTTCCATTAAAAAGATATATTTAAAAATGTTATTCTACTGGTGATGATCGATAACCAAAATCAAATAGATTCCTGATAATTTAGCACTGCAAAGAACTCTTTAACTGATCACATTCTCACTCAGCAATGCACAAGTATGTTCTTTGGAAGAAACAGAATAAATTAAACACCCTGCAATTGTCTACAACATCCTTTGAAATATCCAGGATTCTTTTTTCACAAGATTATGATGACACATCTCTTTCTTTTCATATCCTCTTTTCATTTTTCTCTAGCCCAGTTCTCTTCCAGCTTATGATTTCACCTACTTTGTTAGAGATACTTCCTTCTGGCCATATCTCAGGTGTGATAGCTGTCACTAATTATCCATCTCAATCATGGATAGAGCTAAATTAGACACAGTCTTCCTGGCCCTCCAGGGAAGGAAGCATCAGCAGTACTGTACCGGAAGGAAACAAAGGTCCTTTCAGGTGACTATACTGACCGAGTGGCTTCTTGTTCTCCTTAGACACAGTCAGACTTCCAACAGGATACAGGAAACCCTCGCACACAGAGTTCTTGTGAAAACCCAAACTATCTTCCACTTTCAGCCTAGCATGGCCCAAAGAACACCAGAAGACCCCAGCTTTAAATGTACTTCTTCTGGAATATCTTTCCTCAACTGCCTATGTCTGCCATCATTCATACCCTGCTGGAGGCCATAGACACAGTCAGGTTTCTGGAAAATTTTCCTTCGTGACCTTCCTATTCTTCATACAAGGTGATTTTTCACCCTCATGACTCTGTGTTACACTTACTCCTTACACTTTTATGCTTCCACATTAAAAAGTCAATTCTATTTGTATTCCAAATCCCTAGAACAGTAACTGAAGCCTACTGGGTAATCATATAGAATTTTGCCTCTGCCTTCTCCTGCTTCTGTTTGGTACTGAGGATTGAACCCAGAGTCTTTATACTGAGCTACATCTCGAGTACTTGTTTTTTTTTTATTTTGAGACAGGATATTTCTAAAATGCTAAATTATTTAGGCTGTGCTCAAACTTGCAATCCTCCTGTGTCAGCCTCTCTGAGTACTGAGATTATACTGTGCACCATCACACTCAGCGCTTCTCCTTCCTTTTAACCAACTTTAGGAAAAATGTGCTGAGATTTGTTTATATTTGGTATGAAAATAAGCCCATAATTGAGACTAGATGCTTTTCAATTTCCATTTTTAGGAAGGAAAGGAAGGTGGTTCTCTCTATTAAAGAATCTCTGCAATAAACAAGTATTCATGTTTCTGAAGATAGAAAGTCTTTCAACACGCTATCACACAATTAAAGGGAACTCTCTGTGCCTTCCACAAAGACAACATCATAATTTATAATTTTGAAAGCCTCAGAGGTGGAATGGATCTTGTCTCACCACTAATGATTGCATTCCCTTTATAGTGTCCAAAAATGATGGTCCAAATCTATACTTAAGCATTTCAAAAACTTCACAAAGAAGCCTATATCAGCTTTTGCGTGTTTTGAAAAAAAAAAAAAAAAACCCTTTATACTTTGACACTTTTGACTCCTCAAGTCAATAATAAATGAAATTGAAAAGTAATGAAGGAGGAAATCCACCACCGTGAAGTTTAAATTAAAAAACCAGGGAGCACAAATTACATTAGGCCACCTTTCTGCTTTTTAATTTGAGATTCAAGAATGCTAAGCACCCTAAAATAGCCATATCTAGAATAATCAAGATTACAAGAGGAAACAGCATAAATTGCTATGGCAGGAAACTGATTAGTTCAGCAGAGAGACAGGATGTTTCTTGTCTCTACTGTTGTCTGAGTTAATTCTATGCCTCTTCCATGGGCCAACTGCTCTGAGATAAAATATTATAAAGTTGCCTCATGAAAACAGACTGAAGGACAATTAGTAATTAATGCAAAGGCAATAAAAAGCACAGCCTGAAACAGCTAGAAAGCTGAAGTCAGTAGGCAAAGTTTGTTTTGAAAGGGAAAAAGGCAAGATAGCAATACGTAAAATATCACAGCGATCCATAGATAGAAAGTTCTATAACTTTATTTTGTTTATAATAAATGGAGCTCTCAAAACAAATAGAATAAACATACTTCCAAAGAAGGTTTCTTTGGAATAAACTTTTTCATGAACCCTAAACAATACACAACAAATTTGTAATGTGCTGGAATGTATTACTTAAAAAACTCTCTGTGATGGGAAGAGCAAAGCCTCCTCATTCTCTTCTCCCATGAATAAACTACCTAATAGACCAAAAGAGATTTTGCAGGTATAGTTAAGATTATGGACCTCTAGATGGGAGATGATCCTGGATTATACAAGTGGGTCAACCTAACAGCACTGGTTCCTTAAAATTGGAAGACCTTTCCAAGTTGCATTTAGACTCAGAGACATGATCACAGGAGAGCAATGAAGAAGATACAACATTGGTGGCTTGCAAGATGGAGAAAAGAGACTGCAAGGCAAGGGATATTCATAGCCTCTGGAAATTTCAAAGAGATAAGGGAGCTTCAGAAAAGAATGGAGCTTCAGAAAAGAATGCACCTTTACTGACACCTTTTAATCCTATGAGGACCCACATCAGAGTTTATTACACATCTGTTAGGTAATATCTGTTAGGTAATCTGTTAGGTAATAAATGTTTGTTGCTTAAGTCACCATGCATGTGGCAATTTACCACAGCAGCAGTAGAGAAGCAATGCAAGTCCATCTCGTTTCGTAGATTTTACATGTGAAAGTTGAAATTGAAACCACCTGTTGTTCCTCCAAAAATGACTACTTAACAGAAACCCTAACATCTGCACTTGACTTACTTTGAAAATGTTTTTCAGAGGCAAACAAAGAAGATCCTGCAATAGTAAATCCTTCAAAGAAGAGATAAAAGAGTCAATAAGCTCTTTTTAAAAACTGAGAGATTACCAACTGCTCTCAGTGAATCCAACAGAAAAAAAAAGTTAGTTTATGTGAATTTTTCTTGGTCTTAAATGGAACACCATTTGTCCCCACTCTTTCCCTTTCACTTCTCAACATTGCATTCCACGAACCTGACTTTGAGGAGCTTTTGAGATAAAGTTTTATAACAGACATGGTCATGTGTGTTTTCTAGAATTGATTAGATGAAATGTTTAAAATTCAGTTTGCTAATTGGAACCTTGAAGGGGTTAAACAATGTGGCACTCATTCATATGTCAGGCTTTAAAAAGTAAATAAATAAAAAAGGAGCAGAGTTGCAATTCTTTCTTACCACTTTGCAGCAAAGAGGCCAAAACCACCACATCAAACCGATGCCCACAAGTAGCAGTAAGACCAAAATAGCGATGAGGGCTGCAATCCCATTGGACTACAGGAGGCAAAGAGAAAAACAAAGCAGTCAGCAAATCTTAGGTCAGATCCCACATGTACACTTTACAGAAACCATTAGAAAACAATTCACAGAGCAGAATGGTATCAGACCATTCAGCTATATTCTTTTAAATTCTATAAAGTTCTTTAGATTTCATTCAATAACGTTAGTTTACGTTGAGACAGATAGTAATAAAGACAAAATCTTTCAGTATTTTGCATACTACTTTAAATATATTTTAATGGATTGTAGGGAAAAAGAAATCACTATTTAGGGCTAGACAAATGCTTTCTATCTTTTGAGCGTAGGTAGAAACTACCTGGCATAAGCAAGATTGCCCCGGGAGAGAATTTTCCAGGACTAGGATGATGGAATGCCACTCACTTTTTAATCTTAAATAATCAGACAAAATGAATACATTTAAAAAAAAACACCAAGTAGGTAACAAATCATCTTCAAAGGCTCTTGCTGGAGATAGTATATACATGTCAATGAAAATGCAGTCTCATGGATTCATGTAACAGATGATCTCTGACTGCAGCTCAGGTACCGCCCACAGAAGAATCACACAGATACCCTTCACTTGTTGACTGTCCAGCCCCACCAGCAGGAGGCACCTGCTCTACACCCTGAACTCTGACCTTCATTTTAACAATCCCTATTACTAACCCAGGAGACTGGGGTCATGTCACCTCCTTATGGAACTCTCTGGCTAAAACTGTCCCTCTTAAATATTCAACTCATATTTTATATTATCCATATTTTAATGTTTAGCACTTTTCACAATGCAATGACAGTAATTATGAATTTCATGACTATTCTTCTTTTTTCTTTTCTTTCATGATTCATTATCAGTGCTAGGAAATCAGAGGCTAAGACCAACTAGTTTGCTACTGTATATCAATGTCTGGTATATAAATACTGTTTACTAATGAATTCCAAATAAATAAGAATCCAAATGACACAGACGTAAAATAGATTGTAAATGTCTTTACTTGATCAGTAGGACCTTTAGTGCTTCCAAGGAACCATATGTCCTAAATCCTCCGAGATTCCTGGGATTCCTAAACTCTGGGATTCCCAGGAACGCTGTATACCTTGTTTTGGCTCAGGGTTTTTTGGTTGTTTGTTTGTTTGCTTGTTTGTGGGAAAGAATTTAAGAAAGGAAAAGAAAACAAGAAGATGAAAAATACAGAAATTTTCAGACAAATATATACAGTAAGTGCTTTGTTTTTAAAGTCAAAGAAAACAATTCAGAGCAACTAATACCCAAAGTGCATTCTTTTGCACAGAATTCTAAATATTCATGAATAAGTCAAGTTATTTCTACATCTTTACTTTCATTAAGTTATAAAATCTAGGTAAATAAATATACCAGGAGAAGAATGTAATAGATATATATATATATATGGAAAACTATGCTACTGGAGAAATTACATCAAATCTATAAATTCTTAATCTCACCTTCAAATCCAAGGTCTGACATAGATACTCCCCTATCTATAAATGTCCAGTACAAAATGAATAAAACATCCCCACCTGACTCTTCCCCCACCTGAGGATTTAAGTCCATATTTTACTCTCTGGCTGTGTTAGTCAACTATAAGAGTTCTATGAACACCTGGTTTCACCTTCTCTTAGATTCACACCCTATATTCAGAAATAAGGATGTGCAACCAGAAGCCGCAAATCTGCTAAACTTTAAATTTAAGTTGTGGTTGGTTTGCTTTTTTCTATCGCATGAACAGAAAATTCAGAAAAATGCCAATAATTAGAATGTAAAGTAGATGAGTCAACCATGATAGATATTGAAAATTCTTGATCTTCCCTGAAAATAAAATGTCTCCATCAGTGAGACTGACAAAACACTGCTCTACCAGATGCAGATATACAATTATTATGGCAGTATTATCATTGCTCCTGCTTCTGAAGACTTTCTTTAAAAATTTAAAATAAACTAGGCACAATTTTGAAAACCCACATACCTAACTTTAATGTATTTAAGCCAAGATAGTAGAAAATAAAGTAAGAGGAAGTACATAATTTGCTACTATCTGATCTTGCTATTATGAGATATAGCCCAGGCTTCATGGACTCCAGACATTAGCTTAGTTACCTGGATACAGATCCAGGCTTCCCCTTTCCTTTGTTTTGAATTCTAGAGCCTGATATCAGAACATAGAGCATATGCATCATAAAAGGGAAATAATTTCATTGTTTGCATAACTTCGTAAACTAATTAAGGAAAGGTGAAACTCATAAACTTCAGTGGCTTCTGAACACACACCCTGGTCCATACCCCAAACTAAGAGCAAGATGAATAAAAGTATCAAACTGAGTAAAACTACACCTGTATCTATGTCATGGGTAGAGACCAGAAGCTTCTCATTGTTATCAAAGTGCATCTCTCTTTAAAGAGATCTCAGGTCAAAAATAATCCTAATAAACATTCAACTTATGAATGTCATTTTTCTTGAACTAAATGGAACAAATATATATATATATATGACCAGAAGTTAAAATATATTTTCTTCACTCACCCAAGAAATATGCAATGAGCCCCCACTATATACCTGACCATTAAATAAGTGTCTGAGTTACAATGTTAGAGAAAATTTCCCTAAGTCCACTAGTCAGTGAGCTAAATGGTAAATAATTACAAGTGAGAGGTGTGTGTAAGGAGTATTCACCAGAAGCACGTAAAGGTAGGAACTAGTCTAGTCTAGAGTTTAGAGAGGACTTCCTTGAAGTATATAAAAAGGGCTGAGAAAGAGTGTCATCAGAATGCGTGACTCTTGTAAGAGGAACGGAAAGACCACTGTGACAGGGCAGAGTTTGAGGGAACTGAGGGTCTCCCGAAGAGGCTGAAGAAAATAAAATGGCAAGCACGGATCTCTGAACACCAGTAGTTCACTACAGAGAGAACTGACCATTTGTCAAATTAATGGTCTTTTGTTAAATGACCTTCCAGCTGACCATTCGTTACATCAGCTCTTCCTAAAAATAGTTCTGAACAAGTAGCATTTTCAGATGTGTACAAAGACTTGGGTATGAAGTTTAATGACAAGTCCAGTCAGAAACTTAGAATTCAGACATTAGTGAAGACCAAGAAACCCAATTTCATCTAAGGATTATCTGGAGATACAGCAGAACGTCAATCTTGGTGTTAGGATAGAAGGAATTTTCTATTCACTCAAACATAATGAAGTTGTTGACTTCTGTCTGCATCTAACTTCCTTTTCTTCATTAGAAACAAATTGCAATAAGTAATCAGGCATTTTACTCTGCCAAATATAATTGAAATTCTACCTATGAGAATCACAGAAGTATAAAAACAAGTCAGGGTCACTGCTCTATTTTGCAAAACACATGAAAAGAAAAATCATTCAAAAGTTTCACAATACATGAATAACATGTTGTAATCTATCTAGAAAATAATCACAGTAACCACATCAGAATAAAGCAGACACAAAAAGGAGGAAACTGGTCTCTACAAGAGTTAGGGAAAGAAAGAGTCATGAAAAAGCTGATGATTTCATTTACTGGAATTTTTAAAAACGTTTTATGTCAGGAGTTTGGTAAACTGTGGCCCAGGGCTAAATCAAGCTCAGCTATTTTGTAAGATTCCCTTACAAGATAAAAATTATTTCTTCATTTATTACATAGCTGAAAACCTGTAAAAGAAGAATCTCTTCCATGAAGGTCAAATGTCAATGTCCGTAGCCTTTCTGTACACAGCCATTGCTCTTTGTTTACGTAACATCCATGCTGGTTTTGAACCAGAAGGCAGTTTTGAGTGGCTGTCACAGAGACCGCACAGTCCCCAAGCCTAAAGTATTTACTACCTGGCTTTTTTAAAGAAAAGTTTGCTGACCTCCATCCTAGATAAATTAGTTTAGGATCTGGCTGAAAATGGTAGATTGTGCAAGTGTTTGTTCTAGTATACAAACAGACAGAACAAGAATTTATTCTTAGTTCTAGCATTTAATAGGCTGTGAAGCCGAGCAAGCAATTTTAAGCTTACTGAGCCTCCAGGCTCCAACTTATCCCTCTCACAGGAACAGTATGGACTGAAATCCACAGATTTTCTGCTTATCAACACTTACACCTTTGAGGGTCTGGGCAACAGCTAAAGAGGCAGTGCCTTCCAACATGCTTGGCATTAATGTGCACTGAAGAAGAGAGGTGTTTCTCTCTGCTCTCTACTCCTCGGTTTTCTCATCCATAAAATTCACATGTCAGTAACATCCTTTTCCGGCCTTATAAGGTAAAAGAAGTCAGAAAGTGCTCGGCACTTGTATAAAATTATTTTGCACAGTGCCTAGCACTTGATACTTGTTCAGAGGACACATTCACGGTATGATGATTCCAGAGGAATCAGATGACCCATGGTTCCAGTGGGGGAAAGACAATGTTTCACTGTATCATTAAACTCAGAAATACACCGAAGAGATCTGAGAAGAGATGAAGGAAAGGACTGCTTAAATTCCACCTCTCCTCCAGTTCTAACCTCTTACATCTAAACTGTAGTTTCCTTCCTTTTAAACTAGACACACAGCAACTCTCACTCACTCTTAGAAAATCAGCTTGAAGTGAGTGCTGTGGGTGCTCACAGATGATAAGGAGTGATGCCTGGTATGCCACTGCCATGGAAGTTTCCAGGTAAATGAGCAAGGCCTGCTAATGAACAGGAAACTGTAGCTCATTGCTCTGTGTGCTTTAGCAGAACTGCACTATGGATGTTCTCAGAGAACAAGGGCTTCTTCACCTGGAAGGTTTTCATGAGGATGAATTAATTCCATGAATAATGCTATTTTCTTTTGTGTGGAAGAACTGTGATGGGCAACATCACTAACAGCATTTCGCCTGATCACCATATCTGAACATTCCTCAAAGACAAATTATTGTCAGGAAAGAGGAACTCTCCTCTGCTGTTGGTGGGAGTGTGCAGACTGGCACAACCATTGTGGAAATTAGTGTAGAGATTTCTCAAAAAACTAGGATTACTTAACCCAGCTATTCCCCTTCTGGGTATTTTCCTAAAATAATTAAAAACTTCATACCACAGCAACACACCTGTGTTCACAACAGCACAATTTGAAGTAGGTAAATCTTAAAAACAATCCGAATGCCCATCAACTGAGGATTGGATAAAAAAGATGTGGTAGTTTTATACAATGAAATACTATTCATCTATAAAGGATGCACTTGAGCCTTTTAAAGGGAAATGGATGCAATTTGAGATCATACTGAGTGAAATAAATCTGAATGTGTAAACATCATATTGTCTCCCTAGTGTAAGAAACTAAAAAAGTAAGTAAGATCCAAAATGTACAACAGATATTGTGAATGGAGAGGAAACTGCTCAAAAAGAAAGAACAACAGGGTGTGGGAGAAAGGAAAAAAGAATGAAAGGAAAAGAAAAAAATACACATATATACACAAGATATCTAAGATAATTATAGTACTAATTTCTATCAGTTCATTGAAAAGAATGTTTTATACTTAGATTGTCAATTTTTCATGCCTGAATCTTATAATCTGAGCAACTACTTTAAAGATAATGATATGCAATGTATTTATCACTGTTAATCTCCTTTATCTTGCTTTGAAATTCTGTATCATTGTTTTTATTGTTTTGTTCTCTTTAAAATAAAAAAAAAAACTAAAAAAAGATGAACTATCATTTAAATACAATGTTCTAGTATTTAGCATAATATTACAATGTATCCTTTTCTATGTTGAACAGAGACATAAAGAACAAATCAGCCTGGCATTTCATCAGCTCATATCAGGTAATATTACCACATGCTGGAAGTATTAGATAGTGAATTCAAAATACAGTTAGCTCTAATGAGAAAACTATGATTTCCTATGATCTTCCTATGATTACTATAAATATGATATGAGTTATAATATTTATTACCCTGAAATACTACTGTAATAATGAAAGGCATGTGAAAAAGAAGGCTTCAAACCACCAGCTAGGCTAAGGCAAGAAGGTCCCCAGTGACTGTTGGGGCCCCTGTCAGTCCTTGTCTGAGGATTGGATAGCTCCCAGGCTCTCGGGCCCTCTCTTCATGTTAGAATGGCATCTTCCTTTCCCTTCCCTGTCTGGCTAAGTGTTCTGGTTTTCCCATATTTTGAGCTGCTCCTCACTCTCTCATCTCTTCACTGATTCTGCTGATGCTATAACTTAGGTTTCTAATCCACTGAATTCAGCTTAAAACTGTCATCGCACTAGTTTTCTTGCGTCTCTAGTTTACACATTTCCCTTTTCCTAAAGGATTACTCTGGAAAACTTGTAATTTCAAAATATCTGTCAGCCTTTTGAAATCATTCCCTATCCTTGCAAGGTTCTTGCCCATTTTATGGATGCTGGAGGAACCCTTCTCAATAGCTGGGAGCCATTCCCCTGAAAGCAACCATTGAGGAAGACAGATCCTCTGACTCTGGCTGCAGGAAAGCAGGAGCCAACAGCCGCGGGCAAATGGCTCTCAAGTTTCAGCACTGCACCCTGCTAGAAAAGTGGAGTAGGCTCACTTTTCCTTCCAGCAAAATTAACTAGCAGACATGGGTGGCCCCCAATCTCCACTATTCAAGATCGTCAAACTTCTTCACATCTTAGCTTTAGTAGATTACCATTAAATTTCTCTTCCCTTTTACAGTAGTTCTGAGTAAGTTCTCTTTTGCCTGTCTCATTTTATCCAGTGCAATTTGTCTTTCACCCTTCATATTCCTCCTACTTTAAAACTCTAATTGCCCTAAATTCTCCCATCTTTCTTCCCTTCCTATTAGTGACCCTTTCTACAGTGTTGGTTATCAGGGACCCCTGCAGCCAGTGCCCAGTCTCTTACAAGGTGTTAGAGTGCACAGGGGAAGAAAGAGCAAGAGACAAAATAGGGAGTTCAGGCAGGGATCTGCAGTGACCAGTTGTTCTCAGGGAACAAAAGCCCAAGAGGTACCCAGAACCTAGTATTTATTTATTGCATCTGAGTCAAAGACAATGAGTAAAGGGCAGTGGCTGTTTCCAAAATCAGTAATGGTAACTAGGGTGGCCTAGTAAAGAAACAAAGCACTCTTACAAGGACAGGGACAAGGACAAAATCAAAATGAAGGCAATGAGAAAACTGTAGATTCCCTAGAAGCCTTATGCTCTCAACAGATCTTACCACAACAGTCATTAGCCACAGGGCTTCCAGCTGTGACCAAAAGAGCAGGGACTTTCCCATTCCAATCTGGCTCAAAGGCAGGGCAAACACAAGCGTGGACTTCCCCTAAATTCAATTTGTAACTGCTCTCTCTCTCTCTCTCTCTCTCTCTCTCTCTCTCTCTCTCTCTCTTCATGTCTCCTTACTTTTCTTCTTTGATTTATATACATTTTACAAAGAAAAAAATACTCTTGAAAATAACAGCCATGCGGTCAGTCCAGAATAATGCTTCCTATTTGTATGTTCCATGCTATAATACCAAAACTTTCCACGAATTCACCAAATCAACTGCAAGGAAAAAACTGTCTCATGAATAAAGTTTACATTTCAGCATACTGCATTTTAATCAATGCAGTCATCAACTACAACTAAAATTTAAATTAAAGCTAAGATACTACCAATCCAAATCAAATTGCTCACTCCTATGAGACTGCACCAGTTTTTAAGATGTACAAAATAATGAAGTGACCCATTAAGAAAGGGCTAATGATTTCATATATGATAAATATTACTATAGGCATCTAAGTTAGATAGAAATCAATATACATTCAAGCAGGGACTAGCCTGTCAAGGAAGTCAGCAGAGAAAATAAATCTAACAGAATTGTCGCTGGAGGTGCACTTGAAGATGACCATGCCTCAAGATAAAGATGCAAAGACAGGGTTACATGTCTTCCTAAGAGATAGGCAGTAACTTGGAATCATACTATAATTGATATTATTTGGTCCAGTAAAGCCAGCTAGACATCAGTCACTCAGGTAGGTGACCAGAGCATCCAAACTCATTCCTTCCCCAAAATGCCTTTGTTCTTTTTAAGTAACCTTGCTTCCCTACTGGACTAATATTAGCTAAATTGGTACACTTGTATTCCTATAGGTTAATTGTAATTTCACCCACGTGGATTGTGATTTTGCTGAATAAATTACCCGACAAAAGCCTCAGTGATAACCCACTTCCAGGACCCCTCCTATTTCTCAGGAGCTATTCCTGTTTCCAATTAAACATTCCCTACTCTTAACCTCCATCGTCCTTTGAAATTCATTTTTTGATTTCAGGGGACATGAGCTCAGCATATTTCTCATGAAGCAAGTTAAGAGTTACATTTTCCCAAGTATCAATATCATAGACACTAAATTCTAATCTTCATGGCAGAAAAACATCATTATTTTAATATATAATGTTTTAATAAATGTTTAAATTTTCATTTTCTTATCTTGATGTTAAATAATGACTTGTGAATTCTATAATATCACAAACAAATAATAGAAGTTAAGTAAAAAAAAAAAAATGAAACAAAATCTCTGAAATGACCTGCATTATAATAGGTTCCAGTATTACTATTTATACTATATTACAATAGCATATTTCAATGTTCAGGTTATACAGATTATGTGTAGATCAAAAAAAGTATCTTTGAAACATAACTGTCATTTTACTTACACATTCTGTGGCTGTAATTATTAATGAGCTTGATATGGCCGATTTTCCTCCATTAAAACTCACAGAAACATCAAGAGTTCTGAAAGAAAGATTAAAAAAATAACTAAAAATAAGTAGAAAATGTATCATTGCAGGTGATTTTTATTTCCTTTTATAATTCAAAAGTGGGGCAAAAAAATACCTAAAAAGTAAGAGTCATAGCTTTTGATCACTTACTTCAAGTTCTTTCTGCCTTAGTTGTAGTTCTTCCCCACTAGCCTGAGGCAAATTCCAGTTTTCAAATCAGTCTTTTAAAAAACATTAGCATAAAAAGAGACATTCAAAAATCCCTTAATCCAGGGAAATGCTGAGGTTTCAGGTAGACAAAATTTAAAAGGTGGAAAAAATTCTTAGAACCTATTTAGCTTATTTTCCCTAACTTTAGAGATTAATACAAATACAAGGTAACTGTTTAGGAGTATAAAACTGGAAATAATACACCACTTAAAGATAAAACAAAAAGCAAAAGTAAAAGGCAGAAAGTGAAGAGGAAAAAAAGAGAAAGGTATTTGTCTGAGTCTGTTGTAGACAGTCCCAGGACATTACAATATCTTCAAAAGGAAGAGAAAAAGAATAATTTTTGTCCCTGACCCCCCAAAAAATCATAGTTAAAATATAGTTTTCATTTTGAAAATGTAATTTTAAACTATAAGCAACAATGTTGTAAAGAAATATTTCATTTACTTAATTCCAGATGTAAACGGGAAGGTAAGGACAGGATTTATCTTTACTTTCCCCAAGTATCAAATAAAATTCTAAAAGGGGATAGATTCAGCCCATGTGTTAGGAAATCTGGAGTACTGGGTTTGGTTCTGCATCACTTCACTCTCAGTTTTCCATTTCTCAGAGATAGAAAGAGATCTCAGCAGTTCTGAGATAAATAATGTATCTAACACATCCAGTAGAGGGCCTGGAGCTCAGCGCACACTATAAATTGTTTTCACACTTGACTATCTGTCTAATGGATCATTCAGATCAATAGGTATCTTTTAGAAATCTTTTTGATCCAAGCTTTCAAAAAGATAATTAGTATACAGAAATATATGACAATTAAATATATATAAGCTACTTTTTGTTTAAACTATTTCTCTTCTACTTACTGACATAAAAATACAGAAGACTAAAAACAAAAGAAGACTAAACTGTTGCAAATGCTCACTATATGTCATGTACATTCTTGCAAATAAATGTCTTGTTGCCATTTCCTTCCTGTTATAAAATATAATCTTGATTAAATCAACAATTACAGCTATGTTAAGCTGTGTGCTAAAATCACAAGCCTAAAACCACATTCCAAATTGACTTATGAATGCTAGTAAATTCAATCACTCATTCTAGTACTAGTTAATTAATAATATTTCTTAGTTGCCTACAACAGCAATAAAAACTATTGTAAAAACAGCACAGCTACATTAGACTATTTGCGAACAGGGCTTCCATAACAAATAATAAAAAATAGTGTAACTGAGGGAAAGACATATAAACTATGATAAAAGCACGGTATTAAGTAAGATCAATATAAGCACAGGGGTATGAGAAGACCATGATGGAGACACAACCAACTCAGTTGTGGAACAAGTGTCTCAGCAAAGATCTGCCACAGGAAGTCGCCTTCTAAAGAATAATCAGGAGTTAGAAAATGAGATTCTAAAGAGATCCAAATAGATGGGCACCTGACAGGCTGGAAGGCAGGAGACACACAGCCATGAAACTGAAAGCCATGCAGAACGTCAGTAACAGTGAAAGAGTAAAAATGGCATTCGAATGGAAAGAAGAGGGGAAGGAGGATCCCGAAGTATCCAGGATATCTCCGGATGTCCTCGGATAGAGAATCAGTCTTAAGAGCTTTCAGCTTGGTATAAAAATGGTCAGAATGGCTTGGGTTTTTTTTTTTTAACAAATATCACTGTTGTTGAGGATGATACATTTTAAGGCATGGATTTACATAAAGAATAAATTTTTAGAGTAGGAAGACCAGTTAAGACAGTCTTGATGTATTTCAAAGAAGAACCAAAGTAGAGTTGAACTAAAATACTGACAATGAAGGTAGTGGAAAAGTGGAAACTGAGGAGTAGTAAGAACCAAAAGGAAAAGGCCATGGGCATTTATTGGACGTAGGAGGTGAGGAAGAAGAAAAAAAGACGGATTTGAAGCTTCTGTTTTACAAGTGGGATTGCAGAAGGAAGCAAATCCGAGTAGAAGATGAGTTTACATAGTAACCTACAAGTTTAAGGTATCTATAGCAAGTCTCACAGGTTTTGTTAGTGAGTATCTGGGTAATGGACTTAAAAGTAAAGAAAACATTGCCTAAAGCCTTGGAGCTCAGCAGCAAGGAAACGAAATCCATGAGAAGATGATTTGTGAGTAAAGAATCCAACCATAACAAAAATGAACAGTTTAGAGACTGTAAGAGGAGAAAGCCTGCAGTGCAGTCTGAGAACAAATAACTAAGGTGGGAATATGACCTCATGAAAGACAGAGAGGACCTCCCGAGACAGCAGGAGTGGCCCACAGTACAGAGGACACAGGAGGTAAAGGAAGATAAGGCTAAGAACTGACAGTTCTTTCAACTACCTTTTCTATAAGTAGGCTACATATTCTTCGATTTTTCTTACAAACACCTTAATCTAATCCTTGCTCAATCCTTATAATATATTTCACAAATGATAGGATTAAAAAACACTTAGCAACTTACCCTAATGAAAACACTGCTTGAGGTATTCTTTCATGTCAAATGTTACCCAGTCAATAGTGATAAACCTAAATTCAAGTGTACTAAATTGATTTATGAGATAAGTTATTAAATAGTATTGTGATATGCAACTGAGCAAATAAAATCCAATGAGTCTTAATAATCACTTTAATACTTAAATAGTTATTCCAAAACAGGAAATTTTCTCAGTGCCATATGTCAATTACTCTGATTTGAGAAATTTCATACCCTATAAAAAATGGCTGACATTTCAATCCACAGTGACCTATCTGCAAAATATTCATTTGTTTCTGACTTTATGCTTATCCAATAAAAGACTTCCGTTTTATCATTCATTAAGAAGGATGAAAAAATTATATAAAATTATGAAAGACATTTGCTAAAAGCAATAAATAATTTACCTCCAACTTGCACATGCTGAAAATTAAACTGGCAACTCCTCAAAAAGTTATTAAAATTATGGTGACTTAAGATATTTTGAAACCAAGTGCTACTAATTTATCTTCTGCATAGTTTTTCAAAAGTTAGCTTTGTGCATAATAAAGATTTTACGTTGAAAAGGAAGGTTTCATATTTTTAATTAAGATTCCACATCTAGTTATGAATATATACGATATATATAAATTAATGTCTCATGTAAGGATACTTTCTTTAAAGTAGTTCAAGGATTCTTGAATTAAATAAGTTATTTTTAAGTTATTTCAATATATTATGTAAGTACAACAAAAATTTCACTTGGGAAGATTCCAAAATACTAGAGAAAGGAATCTATTGAGGACCCAGAAAACAGTCCTGATTATCTGTATTAAGGGTATGGGAAAAAAATAATAAACAGAGACAAGTTTAGTAATACATGGGTGGCTGGGAAATCAGTATCTCCTGATGAGTCCTCCTCTTCACACACTCAAACAGCCACTATTTATTGCTGTACATAATGATAGGCAGGGCTAGGAAAACATTGCAATTCAGAGGGAGACTCAGAAGTTTATGGCTCTGTGAGCAAGTATAATCCTGGGATGATTCAACAGGGAATAGATGATCTTATGCTAAGAAGAGTCAATAAGAAATTTCAAATGGGAGGTATTGATAATATTAAATCTCCATTTTATCATCCCTTAGTATGCAAAATTAGCCACTGTGAATTAGTGGTACACCTCAGAATCTATATTCAGAGAGGCACTATCACACATCAAGTTCTATTCTAAATGTTTTTAGTGTTGCACTGGAAATAATTCATTTTAATTGCTTTGTGAATTTTAATAAAATACTAAAAATATACACTGGGAAACAGTCACCTAATTTTAATAAGTGCCATTCAAAAATATCAAATGCTGTAGTAATAAAAGTTTAATCATACAAAATTTACAATTAGCTATGTAGGAGGATTTAAGTACTCATTTAAGGAATATCCCCTCCATCATCATAATGCTGCTCCTCTTTAAATATGTTTAGTTACAAAAACACTCACTAAATAATTCTAATGTTTGGAAAGATCTTCTATATATTGAGCTAAAATATACTTCCCTTTTGTCTGCTTTACTTTCTATCTCCTTTTCAGAAATAAAGAATAAGTCAAATTTTCACATGAGAGATCTTCAAATATTTAAGGAAAGCTACTGTATTCTATCTGAATGGAAACTGTTCTGTAAATTGCATTTTATTTAACATTTCCATACTTAACCACATCTTGGTGGCCACTCATACATATGGTCAAATTAATTATTGTTCCCCTTAAAAGACATGATCTAAAACTGTATATTGAACCTAGGGTAGAGATAAAATACAGATTAGCTGAATGTATCACATTGATAGGTATAAAGAGAAAACACATTATGAAGAAGAAAAGGTAATTGTGGGGTTGAGGCAGTGAAATAAGGAAAGTCCTTATCTTTAGCACATTTCACCAAGACTCTAATGTGTGTAATCAAAATAAAGGCATAATTAATGTTCTGGTACCCATGATTTTTTTTTAAAAATCAGAATTTATTCCTTATAAAAACAGAAGATTAAAGTTGTGGTTGTATTACCTGTGGTTAACACAAGTAATTAGGGAATATCTATATATGTACACATATATGTATATCAAAGACTTGATTTAAAAAAAAGAAAAAGCAGTATTATGGGCAGAATTCAACCAACCAATGAATCAAAAAATTTGAATCCATCCCAAATAGATCAGACTTAATATTGAAAAATAACTATGTTGAAGAAAATAAAAAAGATTCTATTATCAAGTCAGGCCCTAACCCTATGCATACCACAATGTTCATCTCAGTGATCCTTTTATAAATAAGGTTTGAAATTTTCTATAGGCACTGATGTCCTAC